GCAATGTCATTTTAGACACACATATAGGCAATGTCATTTTAAAACTACCACATAAGGCAACCTTTTTTTTTAACCCCCCCTGAATACCGGAAACTCGTGAAGGCACAGGGACTCAGGACGTGACGATCCAGTTGCCCCAACTACTCATGCTTAGGCCATGCTTAGAGCCCTGAAGAGCTCAGCGAAACCTGCAGGCAATCTGGTGGCGGGGAATGAGCACACTGTAAGCCCCACCTTAGCTACGTGTTAAAGGGGAAGGCAGAAACACAACCCATATTTCCTTTAGAACTGGTACAGGGCATTTCTAGCTGCTGCCCGGGGAGGTAGGTAATCCACAGACACCCCAGCACCACAATGCCATGAATATGTCAAAATTTAAGAATACATACGAGATCGGTCGTCGCCTCGTCTATCAAGGCCCGCGCCAGACAGTGGGAAACCAGGCTGTCATGTGCGAAAAATTGGCTACTGGAAAATTTAAAATAAACAGGAAAATCAGACACCCCAGGAGGAGGAAGAGTGGGAGGGAGAGCAAAGAGAACTCAGACAGCACAGCAAAAAATACACAGATGCTCAATATTCTGCAGCTGAACATCTGTGGAATAAGAAACTTGAACTTGCCAAACTACTAAACAACCACAGGGTAAACGTGGCTGCCCTACAAGAAACCCTGCATAAAGACTCTGATCTGCATCTCACTGGATATACTAGTTATGCCTGTAAGTGCAATGACTGCCGGAGCATAGTGACCTATATCAGAAATGACATACAAGGAGATGTAACAATGCTGTCGACATCTCACCCTACAGATGTGCAAAAAATAACTACATGGCACAATGGAAGCAAATATACGATATACAACGTGTACAGCCCACCTCAGACAACATGCAACATACCAGAACTATACAAGACACAGTACCATAAAACCCTTCTTGTTGGTGACTTCAACGGACACTCGCCACGTTGGGGTTACCCTGACTACAATAGCACAGGGAAATACATCGAAGATACTTGTGAAACAACTAACCTATTAGTGCTGCAGGACACAGAGTCTACACCTACACTGTTACACAGCGCCCACCTATCTCTCAGCCGACCAGACCTGACCATCTGCTCATCCGACTTAGCAGACGCAAGCTATCTCCAAGTCCTGGACGACATAGGAAGTGACCACAAACCTATACTCACAACTGTAAGCACCACCGCTAAATTACGCTTCAAGCAGAGAACCCGTTAGAATTTCCGAAAAGCAAACTGGAAACTATTTCAGGAAACATCTGACTGCCTCCTGGGAAGAATTGACAACAGCTGTGTGGAAACTTTTTGTGAAGACATAACACGAGCAATCCTGAATGCAGCGTCAAAAGCCATTCCAAGGGGCAGCCGGAAGGCATATAAACCTTTTTTGAATCAAGAAATTCAAAATACTATATCTGAAAGGAATAAAGCAAGAATATTGCTCGAAACTGCACGTTCAACAGAAGCAAAGATCCAATACAATAAAGCATGTGCCAGAGTAAAGCTTGTAGTTAATAAGGCTAAAAGAGATAAATGGACAGAAACTTGCTCCAACTTAGACCTTAGACAGAATGGAAATAAAGCATGGACTTTAGTTAAAAACCTCTCTGGAGAAATTAGAAGGGTGAACCCAAAACCAGTGACAGATGGGGGTAAGACAATCACTGAAGACAAGAAGAAAGCAGAACATTTCAATCATTATTTTGCCTCAGTTAACAGAGCATCAACAAATTTTCAACCAAAGAAGCTCAGGATATAAGGCAAGAGGAAGACCAAGGAAACGGTGGATTGACGGGGTCTCCGAACCCTGCCAAAAGCATGGCCTCAGAACATCAGATGCTGCCCGCCTTGCTTATGACAGGAACTTGCATCTCCCCACAACGCTTAGCGGCATACGTGGAAGGAAAAAGTAAAGTAAGTAAAGTAACAGAGCAGGCAAGCTGTCAGAACTCAATAGAACACAGCTCTCTCAGTTGAAGAAACAAGAGAGAGCTCCAACAGCCAGCGACTCCCTTTTTGAAAATGAATTTAGCATGGATGAATTAGAGCAAGCCCTGAAGAAATTAAAACCTAGAAAATCTCCAGGCCCAGATAAGATCCACAACGAAATGCTGCTACATCTTGGCAGGTCTGGGAGAGAAGTAGTTCTTAGGCTTATTAATAAAACTTGGAGGTCAAGCAAACTTCCAAAGGCATGGAGGAATGCATATATCGTCCCCATTCTTAAAACCAAAAAGCCTTCAGATGACCCCAAAAGCTACCGCCCAATATCCTTAACATCATGCTTGGGCAAAGTTGCAGAAAGAATGATAAACAGGCGCTTATATTGGTTCCTTGAGAGTTCTGGTGTTCTATGCCATGAACAGGCAGGCTTCAGAACCAACAACTGTACAGAAGACCAGCTGTTCAGACTGACACAAAGAATACATGATGGCTTCCAGAATAAGAAACACACAGTGGCAGTCTTTGTCGACCTCCAGCAGGCCTATGACAGAGTATGGAGAAAAGGTCTCCTGATGAAGATGATGAGCATAGGAATACATGGCAGATTGTATAACTGGGTGAAATACTTCCTGATAGATGGAACAATCCAGACTAAGATGCACAACGCAATCTCTTCTAAAGAAGTCTTGGAGGAGGGCTTGCCACAAGACATCATTGAGCTGTACACTATTCCTAATCTTTATCAATGACCTGCCAGAACAAATCAAAGCCGAAAAAGCCTTGTACGCTGATGACCTAGCAATATGGCAGAGTCATGAAAATGTGGAAAGTGGAGCCCAAAGACTGAATGGAGACCTTAGAAGACTGCATGAGTACTGCCAAAGATGGAAACTCAAGGTTAACTGTGCAAAGACGGTCTACACAATCTTTACCAAAAGCCACCAAGTAGCAAGGAAGAATATTAACCTGAGGTTAGACAAACACCAAGTGATGAAAGAAGAGCATCCCACATACCTTGGAGTCATACTTGACCGGCATCTCAGCCTCAAGAACCATATTGAAAACATCAGGAATAAGGCATTGAGGCGGTTACAGTTATTAAAGAGACTTGCAGGTACATCATGGGGATCAGACAAGGAAACTCTGAGGGGCTTATATCTAGGATATGTTCGCTCTGTGATAGAGTACAACAACTCACTGCTTACAACTTGCTCCAAAACTAACCTTGAGACTCTTGACAGAGTACAAAATAATGCCCTCCGATTAATCTGCGGAGCTATGCAGTCTACACCAACTGCTGCATGTGAAATCCATACAAATGTGGAACCCCTCGGGTTGCAGAGAGAAAAAGCCACTTTAGAAATTTATGAAAGATGCGTTAGGAAAAATCGTAACCATCCTAATAGACATCTTGTAGAAAACTGGGAATACAAACAAAGAATAAAGCACAAATCGGTTTTACACTGTGTTAATGAAATTCAGGACAGATACCACCTCCCAGAAAGACGTCAAGGAATTCAGAATGTTGCAAGAAACCTACCACCACATGCTCGCTTTAAAGCTCCAGAAGTCCAAACTAAATTGGTAGGCGAGGAAACCAAACAGTCCGACCCAATCGCTCTTATTAACTCATCACTAAAGACCGTTGATTCTTACCCCCAAGAATGGATACATGTCTATACTGATGGATCAGCATTTAAAGCTACCATTAAAGCAGGTTACGGAATCTACATAGGTTATCCCGATGGATCTGTTGAAGAGATTTTTTATGCATGCGGGGAATTCTGTTCAAACTATGAAGCTGAAATAATTGCACTGGAAACAGCAGTATACCACCTAAAGACTGTAATGGATGTTTACCCTTCAAAGGTCCAAAATATTGTCATCTTCACAGATTCAATGTCTGCCCTTCAAGCTCTGGAGGGCAGTGAACGCTGCAGAACTGATATAGCCAAGATAATCCTGGATGCTGATCAGCTTATTACCTCATACAACATCAGAATAGTGATGCGGTGGATTCCAGGTCACTCTAGCTCACCAGGTAATGACAGAGCTGACAGATTGGCAAAGAAAGGAGCAACACAAGAACAACCACCTACAGCGACAACCCTCCAGACAGCAAAAACACTGATAAGAGCTATAAACAAAGAGACTTGGTTGAACAGATGGGCCATGGGAGACACTGGAAGAGAGGTTTATAGACATATGTCTGGCCCTGATCCTAATGACAGCATTAACCATCTAACAAGAAGGGACCAGGCCACCATCTTCAGACTTAGAACGCAGCATACTCCACTCAATGGACACTTAAACAGAATACAGCCACAACACTCCCCAGAGTGCCAGCTATGTAACTACCCCTACGAAACTGTTGAACACCATCTCTTTGAGTGCCCAGAACTCAGTGAGACAAGAAGAACGCTACTCCCTCCGAGACCAGACAAGTGGAACACCTTGTACGGAGGAAAAGAACAGCCTGTGAAAACATGCAAATTCCACTACATGGCATTGGGCCAAAGGGCGAAAGCTCATGCGCCGCTGGATCGATAACAACAACAACCTTTTTTCTAGAGACACACATAAGGCAATGTCATTTTAGACACACATATAAGGCAATACTGTTTCAAGATCCACACATACACATAAGGCAATGTCATTTTAGACACACAAATAAGGCAATATTGTTTCAAGATCCACACACACATATACATTAGGCAATGTCGTTTCAAACTCACACACACAAAGCCATGATGAATGTTGACCCACACTCGTAAGGCAGTGCTATTTCAGACACACATATAAGGCCATATCATATCTAGATCCCCACATACATGGCATGAAAACAGGCTTGCTTCGTGCAGAGTGGCCAGCATCACTTCAGAGGTCGTGGGTAGTTAGCATCCTTTGGATATTTTCTCCAGGTGACGCCAGTGTGTTGGAAATTGAGCAGGCAGATAGACTGGCTGGCTGTGCACCACTTGGTTAGATATTGTGACTGCCACTGGCATGCCAACGGAGACTAACTACTACAACAGAGACTACTTCTTGCTGCTGGCCCCCCTCAACTGCATGTTGTTGATGAACGAGACAATCTGGTTATGCTTGTCCAGCTCAGCCTCCAAGTCTTGAACCTTTGTTGTTTTCTGCTTAAGTTTCTCCTCCAAATCTTCGTTGACACTCTCCAGTATGGAAACCTGGACATATGAGAAATCCAAAATCTATTATGGCAACATGGAGACATAGGGAATTTAAAAATCTATTATGGCAACCTGGACATATGAGAAATCCAAAATCTATAATGGAGACATGGGAAATTCAAAATCTATTATGGCAACCTTGACATATGGGAAATCCAAAATCTATAATGGCAACCTGGACATATGGGAAATCCATAATCTATTATGGCAACATGGAGACATAGGAAATTCAAAATCTATTATGGCAACCTGGATATATGGGTAATCCTAAATCAATTATGGCAGCCTGGACATATGGGAAATCCAAAATCAATTATGGCAGCCTGGACAGATGGGAATGCCAAAATCTACTATGGCAATGATACATATGGGAAAGCCAAAATCTATTGTGGCAACATGGAGGCATAGGAAAGTCAAAATCTGTTATGGCAACCTGGAGACATGAGAAAGCTAAAATCTATTATGGCAACCTGGACACATAGGAAAGCCAAATTCTACTACGGCAACCTGGACACATAGGAAAGCCAAATTCTTTTATGGCAACCTGGACACATAGGAAAGCCAAATTATATTATGGCAACCTGGACACATAGGAAAGCCAAATTCTATTATGGCAACCTGGAGACATGAGAAAGCTAAAATCTATTATGGCAACCTGGACACATAGGAAAGCTAAAATCTACTATGGCAATGATGCATATGGAAAAGCCAAAATCTATTATGGAGACATGGGAAAGCCAAAATCTATTATGGAGACATGGGAAAGCCAAAATTTATTATAGCAACCTGGAAACATGGAAAGGCAAAATCTATTACAGTATAATATAGGATTGTGCCCTAGAGAGGCCAGATGAAAGAGAGCAGGAAGAAAAGGAAGAAACTGATTCTCACCCGCTGCTGTAGCTGTCGACATGTGTTCTCACTGGTGCTGAGCTGATGCTGAAGTTTGTCCACGTATGCCTCCATGTTCTCCTTCTCCTTTTCCAGCTCGGCTCTCTCTTCCTCTGTTTCCTTATACTTGTTTTGCAGGGCTTGTAAAGTGCTGCTTTGTTCTGATAACAGCAAAACATGAGTCAAATATTTCACTGACATTCCTGGCAGAATATTTACTTGTGCAATCACAATCACAATAATAAAGTCTTCACTGCAAACTACACAAACCCAAGATTTAGGAGCTTAGGACTGAATCCTGTAGCTACACCAACCCAACACCTGGGAGTGGGGGAACTGACTACTGTAGCTACACCAACCCAACACCTGGGAGTGGGGGAAATGACTGCTGTAGCTACACCAACCCAACATCTGGGAGTGGGGGAACTGACTCCTGTAGTTACACCAACCCAACATCTGGGAGTGGGGGAACTGACTCCTGTAGCTACACCAACCCAAGATTTAGGAGCGGGGGACTGACTTCTGTAACTACACAAACCCAAGATTTAGGAGCTGGGGACTGACTGCTGTAGCTACACCAACCCAACACCTGGGAGTGAGTGAACTGACTCCTGCAGCTACACCAACCCAACATCTGGGAGTGGGGGAACTGACTGTTGTAGCTGCACCAACCCAACATCTGGGAGTGAGGGAACTGACCTGCAGCTACACCAACCCAACATCTGGGAGTGGGGACTGACTTCTGTAGCTACACCAACCCAACATCTGGGAGTGGGGACTGACTCCTGTAGCTACACTAAATGAACAGCTTTAATGTAGTTTTAAACCATATTCAAACAAAATGTCCCCAGTATTAACAAATAAACATTTTTAAATCATATTTAAACAAAATGCACCTAGTATAAACAAAAAAAATTTGCTAAAGATCACACACAAACAACAAAAATACTGATTACGATGGTATACAGAACATTTCAAAAAGCAAGCTTACTCTGCAGCGAGGCATCCTTCTCCTTCAGCTGTTTCAACAAAGTCTTTCTTTCCTCCTCCAACTGCTTGCCCTGGTTACAAGAGCTGTGGACAGATATCAATAGAAGATTTAGCGATTAGAGAGAACTATCATCACAGATCTGTACAGGGAATTTATTTCTGTTAACTTTAGGTACTTCAGTCAAATTTTTAAAATGCCCTCTACACCAATAAAACCAGCACATTTAGATAGCTGTAAACAATCTCTTTCCAATGGTACCTCATTTAGGCTTGTATGTCATTTCTGAGCTGAGATATGTAGGTTTTTGTGGAGATGAGATGTAAGAAACAGCCGCTAAAACTTGTGACCCAGAAACAAGAAGTTTTTCACTGCGCAACCTACTGCGCAGTTCTGTATCGGCTTTGTTGACATTGGACTGTCATTGGACAAGATGGCAGGCAGTGAGACTCAGCCGCATGCGATTGCCTAAAAAATGTCACTGTAAATCTAAACAGCGAAAGTCGGGAAAGAAATTTATTTATGCAAATGTAAAATTGGACGGAGAATTCAACTGTAACTAGCATTACCACAACTGGTAATGTTTAAGGCCTAAAGCCAACCTCGAATTTACCGCTATTTTCAATCAAACTGATGACTAACAGAAAAACAGAGGAGTCCGGCTGTCGTAGACATGCGCTGATGACTAGATTTGGACAGAAAAACAACAAGAGGAGTCCGAAAAGATCTGTCGAAACTGTAGACATGCGCTGTCCTAGATACCATCGGCTCACTGGCTGTAACTCCCCTAGTTGTTCGTCCACTTCTGCTTTGTTTTGTTTCAGAACTTAAGCATGCATTTCATTTGTATGCTGGTTCCAAGGCAGGGAGTTATACTCCAAGCAAATGCAAAATCATCCAGAGAAATGGGCAACGAATCACCAAATAGGCAATTAAAGGATTGTGGAAGGCAGAATGCAAAAGAAACCCTAAAACAAGCATTAATGAGATGGGCTTTTAAGGTACTGAGCTGGATTCCATCCATGTCAATGAAGGGATAGCACAGGATACAATAAAACAGAAGAATAAGCTGCAAGCCCTATATGACATACAATGGCACAACAGGACAATAAATGATGATGATGATGCTTGGTCTGGAAGAGACACTAGGGATTATAACTATTTTCCATCTGATATTCAAATATTGAAATCTGTTTTTCAAAACAACGTGCTCAACCTTACTGTATTAAAAGTTATAGTGACGCACAGAAAAAGGTCAGATAACAAATATTCTTACATGTTATACTGTTCCTTGAGCACTTCATGTGCGTCCTGCAAGGCGGTCATCATGCTGGACAAGGCCTTGCTGTCCTGCCTACTGCTGGCCAACATCTCTTCCAGCTCAGCACACCTGGATCAAGACAAGAGGCATTTCATTACACAGCAGACCATTTCACAGCTGATACTACCATAGGAGCAGGAAGTTTACACATGGTCATCTCTGAACACAAATTAAAGAGAATTCCTTGCATTTCTCATCAGGCAAGCAGAAATATGAGCTTGGTGAGAGATCTTTATTTTCCACATTTGTGCTGACCTTATTGTTTGACAACTTGTAATGTCTCAGAAATCTGATTCCTTATGATGGGAACTTCTGGATACTAAAGCTGAGAAAATGTGATCTTGTCTCTCATGGGGAATCAACCCTCAGACACAAAGATCAAGTATAAGGTCTCCTTGACTCAAGACAGAGTTCTGTTCTGTCTAACAGGTCACAAGTCAAACTGGCTGTAAGTCAAATTTATATTTTTCAACATTTTCATTTAAATGGGTTATTAAAAAAATGAACATAAAAGACAACAATTCAATCTACTTGTATGTACGTATAATTATTGTACATAAAAGGAAAAATTTTATTAAAAAGCACACTACTGTATCAGTTCCTGGAACTCTTTTACCCTACCAGAGTATGCATCTTTCCTTCTTTACTATTTTTATTTATTTATTTTTATTGTTGTAAGTGCAGATGGTTGTAAGTGCTGATGGTTGTAAGTGCGGATTGCTGTAAGTGCGGATGGTTGCAAGTGCGGATGGTTGCAAGTGCAAATGGCTGTAAGTGCAGATGGTTGTAAGTGAGGATGGTTCTAAGTGCGGACTGCTGTAAGTGCGGATGGTTGTAAGTGCGGATGGTTGTAAGCGGAAAAGATATAATAGTTAAAAAACCCAAACTGCAGTGATTTATATCCCCCGAAACCTCTCGCCACCTCCACCTCGAGCACAGACACCAATCTGGCAAACAGAAAATTGACAAATGGCCACAGCTGTGATGAAAACTGGCCAGGACTACAAGGACTTCTGGTCCAATATGGCGGACAGATGGGCAGTCCCTTTAAGTTTTGTTTGCTTCTGGCCATGGTTTGCTGACATTTCCACCTATAGAGTGCAGTTCACAGTTCTGAAGCCTCAGCTGTTCAGTGCCTGGTGTAACACTGTGAGTTGTTTATATTTGGCAAAAGATAAACGGACACCTGGAGCAAACGAGACCGGACTATGGCAAAAGACCAGCCGAAGAGTCACAGCAACTTGCGAGGCATCTAGAAAAAGGGCAGCTGAACAGCGAAGACAGCCTATAAAGACCTGTATGACAGGCCCTTTACCTACAGATACTGTTCCCTGCTCCCATTGCCCTAGTTCATTTCGAGCCTACATTGGGCTTATAAGCCATCTTTGGACTCACAGACAATCCACTATAATTTAATGATGGATGAGAAAAAGAGTGGTCATCATCACTTGTGATGGACGAACGACACAGATAACAGAACCGACCGCTTGCAGAGCACAAGCGGAATGAATGTCTTGCCTGTTCACCAGAATGGAAGCAAGTGATCGGCAGATATCTAATTCTCGACAAGAGGAATCAGCAACATTTGACAGGATTCAAAAATACAAAACCAATCATTAAACACTGTCTATAAAAAAAAAACGAATGATAAATCCACTGTTATTTGTAATCTACTGATAACAGTCGTCTCATGACTTGATCAAAGAGTTTGATGTGGGCAATTAGTTCTCTTCCCCAGTCGATTTTTAAAAAACATCATTACTCCTCTTACCTGTCCGGGGTGTTCTTATCATTCATTTTTGAAATCACATGTCTGCAGCTTTCACATAATTTTCCACTAATCGGCTGGACAACTTACTTGTCTGTAACTCCATCTCTCTCCCTGAGGACAGCTTCTAGATCTTCCCTTTTGCAGTCCAGCCTGTGAACATAGAATAAATCATTGATTATATTAAAAGGCCAATATACAACCGGTTTCTATGTCAGACGAGTTCACATTACATAAACACATACATAATATACATTACATAAACACACGAGGGGTCCAAGCAATTTTGAAAGTGGGTGTATTTATGCTTGTAATAATCCGTCATGGTTTGTTTTAGTTTAATGACAAATTTTAAAGGAGTTATTACACAAAACAACAAGGATTCATATTACTCAAGGGGGGTCTTGTCATATACTCAAGGGGGGTCTTGTCATGTACTCAAGGGGGGGTCTTGTCATATACTCAAGGGGGGTCTTGCCATATACTCAAGGGGGGTCTTGTCATGTACTCAAGGGGGGTCTTGTCATGTACTCAAGGGGAGTCTTGCCATATACTCAAGGGGAGTCTTGTCATGTACTCAAGGGGAGTCTTGCCATATACTCAAGGGGGGTCTTGTCATGTACTCAAGGGGAGTCTTGCCATGTACTCAAGGGGAGTCTTGCCATGTACTCAAGGGGGGTCTTGTCATGTACTCAAGGGGGGTCTTGCCATATACTCAAGGGGAGTCTTGTCATGTACTCAAGGGGGTTCTTGTCATATACTCAAGGGGGGTCTTGTCATATACTCAAGGGGGGTCTTGTCATATATTCAAGGGGGGTCTTGCCATATACTCAAGGGGGTTCTTGCCATATACTCAAGGGGGGGTCTTGTCATAATCTCAAGGGGGTCTTGTCATATATTCAAGGGGGGTCTTGCCATATACTCAAGGGGGTTCTTGCCATATACTCAAGGGGGGTCTTGTCATATACTCAAGGGGGGTCTTGTCATATACTCAAGGGGGTTCTTGTCATATACTCAAGGGGGGTCTTGCCATATACTCAAGGGGAGTCTTGTCATATACTCAAGGGGGGTCTTGTCATATACTCAAGGGGGGTCTTGTCATATACTCAGGGGGTTCTTGTCATATACTCAAGGGGGTTTTGCCATATATTCAAGGGGGGTCTTGTCATATACTCAAGGGGGGTCTTGTCATATACTCAAGGGGGGCTTGTCATATACTCAAGGGGGTTCTTGTCATATACTCAAGGGGGGTCTTGTCATATATTCAAGGGGGGTCTTGTCATATATTCAAGGGGGGTCTTGTCATATACTCAAGGGGGTTCTTGTCATATATCTCAAGGGGGGTCTTGCCATATACTCAAGGGGGTCTTGTCATATACTCAAGGGGGTCTTGTCATATACTCAAGGGGGGTCTTGTCATATACTCAAGGGGGTGTCTTGTCATATACTCAAGGGGGTCTTGTCATATATTCAAGGGGGGTCTTGTCATATATTCAAGGGGTGTCTTGCCATATATTCAAGGGGAGTCTTGCCATATACTCAAGGGGGGTCTTGTCATATATTCAAGGGGGGTCTTGCCATATATTCAAGGGAAGTCTTGCCATGTACTCAAGGGGGGTCTTGTCATATATTCAAGGGGAGTCTTGCCATATACTCAAGGGGGGTCTTGCCATATACTCAAGGGGAGTCTTGCCATAATACTCAAGGGGTCTTGTCATATATTCAAGGGGGGTCTTGTCATATACTCAAGGGGAGTCTTGCCATATACTCAAGGGGGGTTCTTGTCATATATTCAAGGGAGTCTTGCCATATACTCAAGGGGAGTCTTGCCATATACTCAAGGGGGTCTTGCCATATACTCAAGGGGAGTCTTGCCATATACTCAAGGGGGGTCTTTGTCATATACTCAAGGGGGGTCTTGCCATATACTCAAGGGGGGTCTTGTCATATACTCAAGGGGGTCTTGTCATATACTCAAGGGGGGTTCTTGCCATATACTTCAAGGGGGTTCTTGTCATATATTCAAGGGGGTCTTGGTCATATATCAAGGGGGGTCTTGTCATATATTCAAGGGGGTCTTGCCATATACTCAAGGGGGGGTCTTGTCATATATTCAAGGGGGGTCTTGTCATATACTCAAGGGGGTTCTTGCCATATAACTCAAGGGAGTCTTGTCATATACTCAGGGGGTCTTGTCATATACTCAAGGGGGGGTCTTGTCATATACTCAAGGGGGAGTCTTGTCATATACTCAGGGGAGTCTTGTCATATACTCAAGGGGAGTCTTGTCATATACTCAAGGGGAGTCTTGTCATATACTCAAGGGGGGTCTTGTCATATATTCAAGGGGTGTCTTGCCATATATTCAAGGGGTGTCTTGCCATATATTCAAGGGGGGTCTTGTCATATACTCAAGGGGGTTCTTGTCATATACTCAAGGGGTGTCTTGCCATATATTCAAGGCGGGTCTTGTCATATACTCAAGGGGGTTCTTGCCATATACTCAAGGGGGGTCTTGCCATATACTCAAGGGGTGTCTTGTCATATACTCAAGGGGAGTCTTGCCATATACTCAAGGGGAGTCTTGCCATATACTCAAGGGGAGTCTTGCCATATACTCAAGGGGAGTCTTGTCATATACTCAAGGGGAGTCTTGCCATATATTCAAGGGGGTTCTTGTCATATACTCAAGGGGTGTCTTGCCATATATTCAAGGGGTGTCTTGTCATATATTCAAGGGGTGTCTTGTCATATACTCAAGGGGGGTCTTGTCATATACTCAAGGGGGTTCTTGCCATATACTCAAGGGGGGTCTTGCCATATATTCAAGGGGTGTCTTGTCATATATTCAAGGGGTGTCTTGTCATATACTCAAGGGGGTTCTTGCCATATACTCAAGGGGGGTCTTGTCATGTACTCAAGCGTGGGTCTTGCCATATACTCAAGGGGAGTCTTGCCATATACTCAAGCGTGGGTCTTGCCATATACTCAAGGGGAGTCTTGCCATATACTCAAGGGGGGTCTTGTCATGTACTCAAGGGGGGTCTTGCCATATATTCAAGGGGGGTCTTGTCATATATTCAAGGGGTGTCTTGTCATATACTCAAGGGGAGTCTTGTCATATATTCAAGGGGGGTCTTGTCATGTACTCAAGGGGAGTCTTGTCATATATTCAAGGGGAGTCTTGTCATGTACTCAAGGGGAGTCTTGTCATATATTCAAGGGGAGTCTTGTCATGTACTCAAGGGGAGTCTTGTCATATATTCAAGGGGAGTCTTGTCATGTACTCAAGGGGGGTCTTGTCATGTACTCAAGGGGAGTCTTGTCATATATTCAAGGGGAGTCTTGTCATATATTCAAGGGGAGTCTTGTCATGTACTCAAGGGGGGTCTTGTCATGTACTCAAGGGGGGTCTTGTCATGTACTCAAGGGGAGTCTTGTCATATATTCAAGGGGAGTCTTGTCATATATTCAAGGGGAGTCTTGTCATGTACTCAAGGGGGGTCTTGTCATGTACTCAAGGGGAGTCTTGTCATATATTCAAGGGGAGTCTTGTCATATATTCAAGGGGAGTCTTGTCATATATTCAAGGGGAGTCTTGTCATATATTCAAGGGGAGTCTTGTCATGTACTCAAGGGGAGTCTTGTCATGTACTCAAGGGGGGTCTTGTCATGTACTCAAGGGGAGTCTTGTCATATATTCAAGGGGAGTCTTGTCATATATTCAAGGGGAGTCTTGTCATGTACTCAAGGGGGGTCTTGTCATGTACTCAAGGGGAGTCTTGTCATATATTCAAGGGGAGTCTTGTCATATATTCAAGGGGAGTCTTGTCATGTACTCAAGGGGAGTCTTGTCATAAATTCAAGGGGTGTCTTGTCATGTACTCAAGGGGAGTCTTGTCATATATTCAAGGGGAGTCTTGTCATGTACTCAAGGAGGGTCTTGCCATATACTCAAGGGGGTTCTTGCCATATACTCAAGGGGAGTCTTGTCATATATTCAAGGGGGGTCTTGTCATATACTCAAGGGGAGTCTTGTCATATATTCAAGGGGAGTCTTGTCATATACTCAAGGGGGGTCTTGTCATATACTCAAGGGGGGTCTTGCCATGTACTCAAGGGGAGTCTTGCCATGTACTCAAGGGGAGTCTTGTCATATATTCAAGGGGGGTCTTGCCATATACTCAAGGGGGTTCTTGTCATATACTCAAGGGGGTTCTTGCCATATATTCAAGGGGGGTCTTGTCATATATTCAAGGGGGGTCTTGCCATATACTCAAGGGGGTTCTTGCCATATACTCAAGGGGGTTCTTGTCATATACTCAAGGGGAGTCTTGTCATATATTCAAGGGGGGTCTTGTCATATACTCAAGGGGAGTCTTGCCATATATTCAAGGGGGGTCTTGTCATATATTCAAGGGGGGTCTTGTCATATACTCAAGGGGGGTCTTGTTCATATATTCAAGGGGGGTCTTGTCATATTATCAAAGGGGGGTCTTGTCATATACTCAAGGGGGGTCTTGTCATATATTCAAGGGGGGGTCTTGTCATATACTCAAGGGGGGTCTTTGTCATATATTCAAGGGGGTGTCTTGCCATATATATACTCAAGGGGGGTCTTGCCATATACTCAAGGGGGGTCTTGTCATATACTCAAGGGGAGTCTTGCCATATACTCAAGGGGGGTCTTGTCATATACTCAAGGGGGGTCTTGTCATATACTCAAGCGGGGTCTTGCCATATATTCAAGGGGGGTCTTGTCATATACTCAAGGGGAGTCTTGCCATATATTCAAGGGGGGTCTTGTCATATATTCAAGGGGGGTCTTGTCATATACTCAAGGGGGGTCTTGTCATATACTCAAGGGGGGTCTTGTCATATACTCAAGGGGGGTCTTGCCATATACTCAAGCGGGGTCTTGCCATATATTCAAGGGGGGTCTTGTCATATACTCAAGGGGGGTCTTGTCATATACTCAAGGGGGGTCTTGTCATTTACTCAAGCCGATGTGGGAGTCTTGCCATATACTCAATGGAAAAGGGGGGTGGGGGCGCCTGAAAAAGACTGGAGACCACTACTCTAGCATACAGACACATGCGCTCATACATACTGTTTTATATAATGTACAGGCAAGTGTACTGTAACTTACTGGGATTCAAATTCAGACTTCATCGTTTCCGCGCTGATTTTCATGTCATTCATTTGTGAGACCAGCTGTTCAATCTTACGCTCAGACTCCTTCAGCACATTCTGCAACTTTTTCATCTGAAATGGATCACATACACTTGTATATGTCAAGAGATAGTCCATAATATAAATGGAAGATAACATCAATTTTTGGCCAGGATACCTGGCTAGTAGAATGTACAACATCAAGATATATGAAGGGCATTCAGAAAGTAATGTCCGATATATTTCTTTTCACAAACCATTTGTTACAAATATATACAATTACCTGACAATACAACTTTAATGAGGTATCTGAGAAATAGGGTCCAAGTGACAAGAAGGGACAGATGCAATCCAATTTTAAAGGAAGCCCCTAATTACTCGACTCTTATGACATGCTTGTTGGGGAGGCAGAAGGTTTATCCTCCCCAACCACACAATGGGGTCCCAGAACCCACACTGGGACAACAATATAACTCATTTTGTCCTTTACACAAAACAACGGCACACACAGCTTACCTGTATCAGGTTTCATCCTTTTCACAACGCCATTTCTTCACAGCATAAATAACATTCTCAAATCCACCTCGCCACTTTCTGAAGCCTAAACTGTGAGCCCAGCAACCATCAGTGGTCCTATCGACTGCACAACTTCCATATGTATCACAAAACGTTTATCAATATATTTCAGTTTTTTCCCCTCAATCAGAATTTCTACAACAGCTCGATATTTGTAACGCACATTGTTCTCACGTGCCACATTAAGGAATTAGTGCACACATTTTATCTGTTCAAAAAAAAAATCTGGGTCATTACTTTCTGTTTGTCCCTTGTAGTTAAGGATTATTTTCAAATATATATTCTGCGTGTGAGCTGGGAAGGGAGAGGGCAGCCAAGCAACACAGTCCCATAGAGATTGAGTTTTAGTACTGGGGTAGGAGAAAAGTCTACATCAACTTTATTTTAATGGAAGCGACCTCCGATTCTTCCAAAAGTTCCATAAACAACATGTATTTGCTTGTAGTATTCTTCTTCTGCCATGCTTTATTCCCTGGTGGACCATACATCCTCATGCTAAAGTCATCCTATCCTTTGCTATCCCTTGGTGCCCTTCACATCCTTTTCGCCTGTCTATGTCTCTCTCTATATTGCTTCATATCCCTTCTAGAACAATAACTTTCCCTCCATCATCCATGGCTAGTTGCTTTTTTTTTCTCTCCCTCTTTGAACCTTTTCATATTTTGGCTTCAGTGGCTACAGATTTTGGGGGGAACATCCAAATGGTTTGGACATGTGTCAAGACTACCACCAGACAGTGCACAACAGAGAGCTCTGCACTTAAACATAACTGAAGCACCCTAGAGGTCAACCAAGCTAGAGAAGGATAGATGGAATATCTGAGGCATAAATATCAGCATCTACGTAGCACATACCAAGGCTTGCACCCGATGCTCTTCAAAACCTGATGTTGAAAGGCAGAACAAAACTAGAAAAAAAGAGGAAGATAACTTTTTCTTTTAGTAACCTTTTATGACATATATGATAGCTTACAGTGGTCCTATTCTTTGCTTCCCCTAAGAGCCTGGAAACACACAAGTGATTCATTAATCATCACACAAAGCAGTAAAAAAGGAAGTGACGAAGGTGACATCTCATCTCTCTCTATCTAACATAAGAATTCTGTATACTTGAACAAACTCAGTGCCTCCATTTATGTAATAGCCGACATAACTCACAGAAATGAGAGTTATCCCCCACTGACTACTAACCTCAGCTGCATGTGAAGCTTGTCTGCCTCTCAACTGGGCAATGACCCGGTCTGCTTGGGTTAATGCTAGACTCTTGGCTTCCAAAAGATTGTTCAGGTGCTCTTCTTTAATCTGGAAACAGAATCAAGAAAGTCTTTCAGAGTGGTAATTCTCACCAATGCAGAAATTACACTATTAAATAGGTTACATCTTTAGCAATTAAATGTTTTGAAAGTTAAACTAAATAAAAGCTTTAAAAAAAAACCTCAGAAGAAAACAAAACATTATGTAATCATCATTTTGTAACAAACAAGCAACATTCCACGAGCAATTAAAGATCCCTTTAGCAACAGTCTGCTTTCTGCCTTTGCATTTACCAGTTGTAAACTCCAAAAGAAAGTTTTGGCTGTTCATCCATTTCTACTTTAGTCTTGTCCCCGAACTTGAGGTTTGCATGCACACCCGTTTGACAGATTTTGCTTATCTGTATGCAAACTGTGGGTTCCTCGCCTCTTAGGTAGATGCCCTCCTACTAGAAGAAATACCACTAATTAGTCGACTTTTACAACATGCTTTTTAGTGGCAGCAGTGGTCTGTTCCCTCCCCCTCCCCCACAATGGGGTCCCAGAACCCATACAGTGGCGAGAAAAGGTCAAAATCTGTTTTTACCGTCGATATTCACTGTTTGTGGGGGAGAGGCTTGGGGGGGCTGTAAGATACATCTACTGCTCTGAGTAGAAAAGGAAATAGTGAAGGTACATTTACACCCCAGGTCTTGTTTGGCAAAGAACCAAACAAGACATAACTTATACCCTGAGGTAGAAGACAGAAAATTCAAACTATGATGCCCCTACACCCCAGAGCAGAAGGGGACAGACTGGAAATGGTTAAACACAGAAGCATCTACACAGACACATACCTGCAAAGATCTAATGTGGTGCTCAAAGACCTCTATAACTTCAACCGTCTTTGTGTCCTTGTTCTGAAACAGATGCAAGCAGTTTTAAATTGCCTTAGTCTTAGTCGAGGTTTCAACTTCACAGCAATCGGGTTTGCCCATACTTGCTCCGTTCCTGTGCCAGTGACAATCAAATGAATTGTTCCTCACTGTCTCATTTGAAAAACTGGTGAATAAACAAGTAGTGCCGGCACAATCCAGAAATACATGCATGCAGTAAATGCATATGACAGTTGCCAAAGGTGTCAAAGCCAACAGTCACCACCAGAAACGTAGTTTGTCCTTGATGGAAGTAGTCAGGCACGATAGGTTGGCTGTACTCACGTAGAACCACCACATAAGGTATTTCACCAACTCAAACGCAAACTGGTGATCGCCATATTGAACACGACGGCACAACCACTGCATAAATTGTGTCTACCTACCGTAATTTCAGACTTAGTCACAAACAGAATCACCCTGCACCCTTTCATCGAGTCTGTCTGCAGCTACACCACATTTCAGCAGCCAATTTGGTTAATTCTGATCACAGTAAACATAACAGATGCCAGACCCTAACCTGATAAACCCTCCATCTTCTTCATTTGAAGTAAACTACTACTTCTGATTCTTCTTGATGTTCACTGGCTGTGAACTCTGGAAGACAGTTCTGGTTGTTTGTCTACTTCTGGACTTGTAGCCTTGTTCCACATCTTGAGTTTTGTGTGCACATCCATCCTACAGATGTGGCTAATTTGTGTGCAGACTTTTGGTTCCTTGTCTCTTGGGCAGATGCACTTCAACTTGGAGGGAATCCCTTAATCAGTCCACTTTTACAACATGCTTGTGGGTCTAATCATGTTTTTCACCTCACAATGGGTCCCCGGAACTCACACAGGGATTGAAGTAAACAGATAACACCCTCCATTCTCTATATAAACTCACCCTGACAACTACTTCCATCTTCTCTATGTGAAGTAAACAGACAACATCCTCCATCTTCTCTTTGTAAAGTAAACAGATAACCCGTCCATCTTCTCTTTATGAAATAAACAGACAACACCCTCCATCTTCTCTTTGTGCAGTAAATAGATAACCCATCTATCTACTCTTTGAAGTAAACTGATAACACAGACCATCTTCTCTATGTGAAACAAAAAAAAACCTCTATCTTCTTTATGTGAAGTAAACAGATAATACCCTCCATCTTCTCTATGTGAAAGTAAACAGATAACACCCTTCATCTTCTCTAAGTTAAGTAAACAGATAACACCCTACATCTTCTCTAAGTTAAGTAAACAGATAACACCCTTCATCTTCTCTAAGTTAAGTAAACAGCTAACACCCTCCCTCTTCTCTGTGTGAAATAAACAGATAACACCATCCCTCTTCTCTAAGCGAAGTAAACAGATAACTCCTTTCATTTTCTATATACAAAGTAAATATGAAGTAAATAGATAACACCTGACACTCACCCCGATAACACCCTCCATCTTCTCTATGAGAGCGTCCACAGAAGTTTCATCCTTGTTAGACTTATCTAGCCCTGCTTTCACCCTCTGCTCCGAAGGGAACACAGAACCAGATGTAAGCTGTAGGCTTGGCAAATTCTCCTGGCTTCTCAGAACGCGATCTCCGCCAGGTGTAGTTTTTCCAGGTGTGTCGGAGTCTATCCGAAGCCTTTTTGATGACTGTTTCTGTTTGTTCAGACAGGCTATAGATCCACACAATCTAGAGGGAAGAAAATATGCGTGAAACAAATTATGGAACATAGTTTAGTTTAGTTTGGTCGACGGATCAACATCATGGCACACGGGTGTAAACCCATAAGTGCTAAGTTCTACTTTTGACTCAAGCCTGAGTCTGAAGAATCTCAGCGCAGTGCACGAGGATCCTGAAAAACTTTGGTAGATTTTTAACTCCAAATTTTACCAGGGTAGCTACTCTTTTCGATTTCCAACTACCAAGTTATTTTTTATGTGCACAACAATAAACACAGGCGTCTGGCCTTACTACCCAAGAGACCATGAAAAATTATTAGAAGTCCACGTGGAAAAAACCCAGCCTTCAATGGGGTTTGAACCCGGGACCTCCAGCACTCTAGGCGGATGCCATACCTCGAGACCACTATATTTTAATATAGTATAGGATAATATATTTCCCATGTAGGTTCCACGGCTTCATTATGGGTAAAATAAGAACAGACCCACTGTCTCACCAACAAACACGTCGTAAGATTCAATAAGCTGGGAGTTTCCTTTAAAGTTGGAGTGCATCTGCCTGAGAAGCAAGGAACCAAGAGTCTGCATGCAAATAAGCCACATGCGGGAAACTGATGTGCACACAACAATCAAGTTCTGGAACGCGACTAATTTCCGGAGGTGGATGAACACCCAGAACTTTCCGCCAGAGTTCACAGCCAGTGAACATGAAGAAAATATAAAATAGTATAAATATAATATAATACAGTAATGAAAGTGAGTAAAGTAAAGGACCCTTTTCCAGGCCATTAGCCGGCGTCCAGTGCTAGACCAATATATTATAGACTATTTTATAGATACGGCCACCATCCCACCAGGTGCCTCTACTTTCGAGGACTTTGCCTGGTATTCATTTGGGGAGGAAGGGGCGGGGGGTCAACCGCAGAGCCAAGGTCATTACTGAGAACAATTTACATGATGCGGATTTGAACCTGGGTCCAAGGTAAGTGTAATGGAACTATCGTCGATTTTTATGATATAAAAATAAGATAAGGTGGTATACTGAGCCGCAGAATCCTAGCGGCTTGGCATTCACCTGCAGGCCCAAAGGTTGAAGGTCTGAATTCACATCAAGGCCGATTCCATCAAGGCACCAGGCGCACTCAGCCTCAATCATAAAACATGCAGGTAATAACAGATATCAAAGCGAAGGAAACTTGTCCACATGTTCAGGCATATTGGGCATATATGGCTAGTCCTATATTTTTACAGAACAATCGGCACTTCATGGGTGTTGTGGTCAACATCATGCCGGCCCCCTTACTTCCGAGGACTGTACCTGTACCCATTTAAGGCCAGAGTCAATCTGGGAGCCAATGTCATTAAACACACACACAAAAAAACACCTAAAAAAAAAAAACAGACAGCCTCCTCAGGACCCGAATCCATGGCCTTCCGATCCACAAGTGAGCATCTAGACGTTACACCACAGTGGCTCCCCTGTCAAAGATGACTGAAGATATATTTACTTTAGCAAAACACCAGAGTAAACTTCTTTCATCTGTCTGAACTTCTGACTAGTTCAATGTTCTATAGGTCCACAAGATCTGTTCTTCTGTAGGTCCACAAGATCTGTTCTTCTATAGGTCCACAAGATCTGTTATTCTATAGGTCAACAAGATCTGTTCTTCTGTAGGTCTACAAGATCTGTTCTTCTGTAGGTCCACAAGATCTGTTCTTCTATAGGTCCACAAGATCTGTTCTTCTATAGGTCCACAAGATCTGTTCTTCTATAGGTCCACAAGATCTGTTCTTCTATAGGTCCACAAGATCTGTTCTTCTATAGGTCCACAAGATCTGTTCTTCTGTAGGTCCACAAGATCTGTTCTTCTGTAGGTCTACAAGATCTGTTCTTCTATAGGTCCACAAGATCTGTTCTTCTATAGGTCCACAAGATCTGTTCTTCTATAGGTCCACAAGATCTGTTCTTCTGTCTTTGGTCATCAATTTTTAAACCAATCAACCCCTTGTTGAATAAATCAGTTTTCATGTGAAATCAGCCATTGTTCAGAAGTTTTCAACCAGTCAGCTTCTTTTTTCAGTCAATCAGCATCTTTTTTTAATCACTCAGTCTTTCTTTTTTCCTCCCAATTAATCTGCAACTTCAATCAATATCTCTCAGACTCAGATGTGAAGTGTAGATATATTAATCGGAGCAGGGCATTTTGAAAAACCTGCACCAGCTCGTAGTGGCTACATGTTTGTCCGTGTGTGTGTGTGTCTGTCTGTGTGTATCTATGCTGTGTCTGTAGGTGTTTCTGCGTGTGTGTCTGTGTGTCTATGCCTGCGTGTGTCTGTGGCTGTGTGTTTCTCTGTGTGTTGTTTCGTGTGTATTTGTATGTTCATCTTTTTGATGTGTGTGTGCGTCTACATGTGTGTGTCTGTGCGAGTATTTGTGCGTCTGTGGGTTCGTTAGTATGTGTTTGAGTATGTCTCTGTGTGTCAGTGTGTGTGTGTGTGCCATTATGTGTCTGTAGGTGGGTATGGCTGCATGTGCATCTGTGTCTGTCTGTGGCTGTGCGTGACTTTGTGTGTATCTGTGTGAGTCTCTATCGGTGTATCTATTATATAATGTCTACGTGTCTGCTTGTGTCGGGTTATACGTCTGCGTGTATGTCTGTGTGCGTATGTGTGACTGTGCGTGTCTGTGTGTGTATATCTGTGTATGTGTGGGTGTTGCGTATGTCTATGTGTGTGTCTGTCTCCCTGCTTTTGTGTGTGTATGTGTTTGTGTGTGCCCGTGACTGCATGTGTGTGTGTCTGTATGTGTCTGGGTTGTATGTGTGTGTGTGTTTTAGAGCATGTGTATGTATGTATGTATGTATGTATTTTTGCATGTATGTATGTGGGTTTGTATGTATGTGAGTTTGTATGTATGTATGTACGTACGTATGTGTGTATGTGTGTGTGTATGTATGTATGTATGTATGTATGTATTATGTATGTATGTATGTATGTATGTATGTATGTATGTATGTATGTATGTATGTATGTATGTATGTGTGTGTGTGCATGTTCGTGTGTATGTGGATGTATGTGTGTACTGGGTGCCTATGTATTTGTGTGTAAGTGAGTGATTGGGCTTGTGTGTATGTGTGTTCGCGCGTGAGCGTGCGCACATATTTTACCACCCATGCTGTTGTTTTTGACTTCATATCCATAATATGCATATCATTACATGAATATAACATGCTTTATTGATGAAATACAACTGCTGTGTGAAAGATGGAAGTTTGGAAGGGCCGAATGTAAGACAGGCCTGCGTGCCTAATTTGTAACCCTTTGAAAATAAAGTTCCTTCGTTCGTTCGTACATATAGCAGTCGAGAACAGGAGTCATCAGCGTGAACACACTAAGGTACATGCTTAGAAGAAAAATCACAGGGGGTGTGCCTTAATGTGCCAATGAAGATGATACTAAAAGGAACCGTGAACATTTATTTAATCAACCAACCAGCATGTTCTTCATTCAGTAAGTCTGATCTTCAATCAGTTACCTTCAATCAATGAGCATGTTCTTCATTCAGTAAGTCTAATCTTCAATCAGTTACCTTCAATCAATGAGCCTGTTCTTCATTTAGTCAGTCTGATCTTCAATCAATGAGCCTGTTCTTCATTTAGTCAGTCTGATCTTCAATCAATGAGCATGTTCTTCATTTAGTCAGTCTGATCTTCAATCAATGAGCATGTTCTTCATTCAGTGAGTTTGAACTTCAATCAGTCACCTTCAATCAATGAGCCTGTTCTTTATTCAGTGAGTCTGATCTTCAATCAATCACCTTCAATCAATGAGCCTGTTCTTTATTCAGTTCTTCAATCAATGAGCATGTTCTTCATTCAGTGAGTCTGATCTTCAATCAGTTACCTTCAATCAATGAGCCTTTTCTTCAGCCTCTTCCTTAATCTGTCACCTTCAACCACTGCTCAAACATCAAAACCAAAATATTCACACACAATTATGAAAGCTGAAAGCACTCGGAACATTCCCATAAGTGCCATGTCCCCATCTTCAGCAGCAAGTGCAGTTCCAATACCAGTAGCACTAGTAACAGTCTGACTGTAATCCGTCTCGCCTATCTCTTGAGTGCTGACCATACCCTCTGGTCACTCTTCACAAGTATCATTCTCTTCCTACCATGATAATCTATGTCTGTCTCAGCACTTATCACTTGCTTCCAAAGGAACCAAAACAGAAATACACTAAGTTATGGTTATAAAAAAAAAATATTAGAATTTTGTATGAGTTGACCAAATGACAGTGGCACACACTGACATGAAGATGACATACATGACGTCAGGTCTGGCGTTATCCAAGCCCAGAGAGAAGCACAACAGATGCAAGGACATCTCCACTTGCTCTTGACTGACAGACGTCAGTCCCAAGGCCACAAGATCAACCACTCTCGTCTCCTGCAATAAACAGGCACCAAAATGTTTTTGGCAGGTAAATGTCAATCAATGATCAATTTCACAACAACCAAGATCACAAATATATGATACATTGATTAAACCAATTGTCCTGTATTGTTCTGAAACTGAAGGACAACTGAAGGAGATGAAGCCTTATTACAAAATGTTGACAACTGCTTTGTGACACAATTTTTGGCCCCATCAAAGCTGCTAAATGAAATTCCTGATTTATTTCTTCTTCTTTTTCTTCTCTCTGTCCACCAGCTGTAAGCTCCGATGGCAAGTCCTGGTTGTTTGTCCATTTGGATTTTGGCTTTGTGCCAGAACCTGTGTGTTGCATGTACATCCATTTTACTGGCTTATTTGTGTGCAGCTGGTTGTTTCTTGCTGCTCCGGGAGATGCACTCTGACTTGGAAGAAAGGCCCCAGTTAGTCGACTCCTATGACAGGTTTGTTGGGTAGGCAGCTGGTCTATTCTTTCCCCCCCCCTCTACAATGGGGCCCTGGAACCTAGAAGGAGATGCACTGTTCTAAAATCTGCACAAATAAAGCCTTATTACAAACTTCCGACAACTGTTTTGTAACAAATGTTCTGGACCTTTCCAAGACACTAAATGAAAGTCGTAATTTATTTAAATTACCGCTGATTACTGGCATCGGGTTGGAGCGCCAATAGACTGCTATTGTTTAGGCATAAAGAGAAAATGATAGATAAATGACAAAAACTGTGTTCACAAATGAGTTGAATGGGAGTAGACAGCAAGGCAGACCCAGAAGACATCGGACTGCTATATATATATATATATATATATATATATATATATATATATATATATATATATATATAGAGACACACACACACACGCACGCACGCACGCACGCAGACCTACACACGCGTGCGCACACACACACACTTGGAGTCAACAACTGGAAAAAGAAGACCAGTCACAGAGATGAATGGAGACGGATTATATCTGCAGCAATGAAACCTCAAGAAAGAATGATGAAGAAGAATGTCAACAGACGTTAAATATTTCTCTTATAATTTCAACTTCACATCTTCTTCTTGTTCCCTGGCTGTCAATGCCAGCAGAAAGTTCTGGTTGTACGTCCACTTCTGCACTTTAGTTTTGTTCCACAACTGGAGTTTTGCGGGCACATCCACTTTACAGATCTATCTTATTTGTACGCAAACTGTTCCTTGCCTTTCTGGCAAATGTACTCCAACTTCAAGGAAAACCCCATATAATGGACTCTTATGACAAGCTCGTTAGGGAGACAGTGGGTCTACTTTTTTATTTTTCAAAATGGGGCCCCAGAAGCCATACTGGGAACTACTAAACATTTTTTTCTTCATCGCAACATTTAACATTTCACTCTCCTCTTCCACTCAACATAACATTAAACATTCCACTTCCCTCTTCATCTCAACATACAACATTAAACATTCCACTTCACCCGTTATCTCAGCATAAATGTTCCACTCCACTCTTCCTCTCAACATAACATTAAACACTCTACTTTCTGTGTAGACACTTCACTATAATTCTCAATAGAAAAACGTTCAAGTCCACCTAACAGGCATTATTATAGCTTCCACATTTCAGCTAAAGATAAATGCCATAAAATCACTTGGAGTGAATCTTTAGCAGAGATAAATCCCTGTGTGAGTTGCGGGGCCCACTGTGGTAGTGGTGTGGGGTTGGGGTAGACCCACTGCCTCTATAGCAAGCATGTCATAGGAGTAGACTAAGTAAAAGCTTCCCTTTAAGTCAGAGTCTATCTGCCTGAGAGGCAAGGAACCAACAGTCTGCATTCAATAAGCCAAATCTGTCAAATGGATATGTTTGCAAAAACGCAGTTTCTAGAACAAGACTAAAGTCCAGAAGTGGAAGACAATCAGAACGTTCCATCGAAGTTTACAGCCGGTGAACATGAACAAGAAGAAGTAGCAAAAGAAGAAGATGAATAAGACGAAGAAGAAAGAGCAACAAAACTGGTTATAAATAAGGAAATAATCAGCCGGTTTGACAGAAAGATGTCTGCAAAATAAAGTTAAATCATGAATTTAAAATTGCAATACCTTTAGAGTTCTGTCCAAGTATTCAGCTAAACCTGGCACATAGTTCCGAACTCTAGTGGCCAGATCTAGTAGCAACAGGACACACTGATACCTTTCATCTCTAAAAGAGATAAATACATTGAACAAAACATAAGTTTATTCCAAACACTTAAACTGACACATAAATACATTGAACAAAACCAAAGTGTATTCCAAACACTCAAGTTGAAACATACATATATTGAACAAAACTAAAGTGTATTTCAAACACTCCAACTAGAACATAAATACACTGAACAAAACCAAAATGTATCCAAACACTCCAATTGGAACATAAATACATTGAACAAAACCATAGTCTATTCCAAACACTCAAATCGAAACATACATTTATTGAACAAAACCAAAATGTATCAAAACACTCCAATTGGAACATAAATACATTGAACAAAAAACCATAATGTATCCAAAACACTCAAACTGATACATAAATACATGTGGATCAAAGCGTAAGCGTAATCCAAACATTCCAATTGATACATTAAAAAATTGAACAAAACTATAGTCTATTCCAAACTGATACACAAATACATTGAACAAACCAAAGTGTATTCCAAACGCTCAAACTGATATATAAATACATTGAACAAAACCAAAGTGTATTTCAAACACTCAAACTGAAAGATCAAATTTTGCACTTTACAATAAGCCACTCAATTCCAATAAGTTATGAGTTGGGTTTTCTTTATGGCATTTTGGGCGCATCCACTGATGCCCAGATTTCTGCCAAACATATATATTGATGTCACATGATTAACAGTGCCATTTCTATGCTGGCTGACAAGACTTCTTGTGCATCAAGTGTACCTTTCCTGCCTGGACGTGTTGATTTTTATTCCAAATTATTGCGTTCTTAGCAGAATGTCGATCGGCTGTCCCCACATCCTCAGATCGTCCTTCTATCTCCAAGTGCAGGATTTTTACAAGCCAACTTTCTATACTTCAACAATTCAAATAACTAATTTTTAGGCATATTCTAGCACTAATGATATCTGCCAACAGGTATATACTCCCATCCTATCCTTACACAAGCACATATCATCACACTGTACACTTAACATATTTTACTGTGTAAAAGACCATGCCTATTTTTTAAATCCAAAAATTAAGAAATACATTTTTGAATCATATTCTGTGCATTAAAAGTTTTGGCCAACTTATCATCATATGGATCACAGCATTCAGGTTTCTAAGACATTACACTGTTTAATTTGAGCCAATCCTCCTCAATATTCAAACCGCTATATTTTTATTTTTCTTCATCAACAGTATTTAATTAATTTTTCTGTACCTTTTAGATTCCAAAGAAAACAATATTAGTCACTTAAATCAAAATGAATGATAAGGAACTATCAATGCTTTGCACAGCCATGCTATAAACAGCATATATTAAAATAGGACAGGGCCACAGTGCCAAAGCAGACCAAGAACAAGATGGAAAGATAACGAGCAACTACAACAGTACGATGTTACACCAGAAGTAAAAGGAGAAAGCAAAGAAGAGGAGCAAAACAAAAGAAACATTGAGTGAGAATACAGCGTTGAAGGCCATAGCCAGACATCAGCAGACAGAACTGACCTTGTTTCACTGTCTGCTAGCAGATAACTTCCTGCGGCAGTATATGAGACAATGCTCTGTGAGAGATGTCGCTCCACCAGGCTAACAAATACATCGGTCTTGAGATGTACACTTAACGATTCCCGGCTGTGTCTGTCTGAACTCAGTACTGCAAATCACCATGGACAAACAAGGTTAAAGGTTAAAGTCAAGAGGATCCGCTTCACTGCACAGGGTTTTACCCCATCTGACCAGATCTCTTTGCACAGAATGGCTAGCCGCCTGCCAAGAGCATCGTTCAAAGCAAGAACTCAATAGCTCTGGGGTGATCATCAGTGGCCACGGTAAAAAACTGCACTTGTGAACCAAAAGATCTGCTGTGAAAGGAACCCATGACCTTCAGAGCACCAGGCAAATAGCTTAACCACGTCAACTTGTTTCACATTCCTGTAAACTGTTATACGTCAATGTTTAATCATTCAATTTTCTTAGCACTTGGAAACATGTGGAGGTCACAGGAAATTCAAACCAGGACTAAACTCAACATACTGTGATACCTGAGTATACGTTCGCTTTGGTTTATGTTATGTTTAGACGTGCAAATGTTCGCTTGGTGTACGACCTTTGTTTCTAATATGAACTTTGTTCAACTTTCTCCAGACAAAGCCACAGATAGATGTCAATGACTCTACAGAAGAACACCCACAACAAAGTCATAAAAGCATTTGTCGGTAATGACTATACAATGTGCCACTTCCGAAACCTCCTGAGAAGAAAGTATAAGCAAAGTTCTTTGGACAGATTTTTAGTAACAGTCGAACCTGATAAGCTTCAATGATGTCCAAGTAGTTAAAAGAGACAGTTTTTTCGTAGTTTTTTTGGAAGGGGACTCTACTTCCAAACAATAACATCTCCTCCTTGTCCCTTCACAGTACCATGCTAGTAGGCATTCGACTTCCCAGGAAGGTCAAGTGAGGTTGAATGTCCTTCCTGAGAGGACATAAATGAGTCTGATGGGTTTTAGTCCTTCCTGAGAGGAGACGGATGAGTCTGACAGGTTTTGGTTCTACTCGAAAGGAGACGGATGAGTCTGATAGGTTTTGGTCCTACTCGAAAGGAGACGGATGAGTCTGATATGTTTTGGTCCTACCTGAGAGGAGACGGATGAGTTTAATATGTTTTGGTCCTACCTGAGAGTCCAAGTCCTTTTGAGAAAAAAAAAAGAAAAGCTCGACCACGTTCAGACTGCTGCTAGCTAGCCTAGGCTGCTAGCAGTCTCCGCCTATATTTGTGGTCTGGGTTATTTGCGTCACTCTCGTGACTTAATACTGGTGTTTGTGCCATTTCTGGCTTAATGCTTCCATCCGAATCAAACCGCTCGTCCTGTTGTCACTGGTGCATGTCTTCCTTCTTCATTCTTGGTGTTTCCTGTTTGTTCTGTCTCCCTTTGATCTGGCTAGGCGTATCTCGAAGGAGAGCGAGCTTCCAAACACAACGACCTTTCGGCCACCATTTATTGTTTTAAAATTTTGAGTATTTTAATTTTGCCAAAAAGTACTGAAAACAGTTTTTGAATGTGAATAGTTCCGAAATGTGAAAATTTTCCGCGTGTGACCATAGTGGTCTTATAGTTGTCTTCCTGTAATATGAACGGGTTAGTCATGTAATGGATATGTGTGTGAGAGTTTGTGGGGAGTCTTAAGTGGGTCCAGTCGTCATTTGTTATTATGTGATCGGGTTGTGTTGATAGCTAAGCTCCGGTGTACGTAAATACCATATAACCGGACCGTCCAGCTCACGCTTTGAGATCCAAATGATTGGCGATAAGAATTGTTGAGGCATGTTGGGCAACAAACTCAAGTGCTCTCTGTGGGAGTGGGTTGGGGGGTTAAACTCATAGTGCATCCCAAAGAGTTAGGAAAAGGTGGGGGGAAGGGGAGCGGGAGGCCATTCAGTCAATTCTCGTCGTTGCCGTCTTGCTGGATTCTAGCGTGGCTTTTTGCCGGGACTATGTGTATCACGTTACCAACCTTTGCTATCATCCCAGTGATGGGGTGGTATTGGAGGTTATGCGTTCTAGTCCTGTCATTATCGAGTCACTTGTATTCCCTATTTGCTGTCAGTCATATTTTTGTTATGAGTCCTGTCGGTCATGTGCATGTTGTATGCATGCTGTGGAGTGGGATGGTTTTGTTTATGAATCCCCGGAGTATATGGATGCACCCAACTAGGTGTATGCGTACATGCACTCGAGTACTCATACATGCAGACAACACTACATATTTGTGCGTCCTTTCATACTTATCCGTGTATGCATACCTAATTGACATTACGTACACACGCAAACTCTTTCATATGCGTTTACCAATGCCTGTACTTACATTCATTAAAAAACGAGTACATCCACACGTAGTGATATTCACTCTTCCATGTCTTATGCGTTTTGTGTCGCTTTGTCTGTAATTTCGTCTGGTCGTGTCACTTTTAAGTTATGTCCCGTTACTGGTATGTGACCTGTCCGGTACTGACGTATCATGTTTTGGTGGATGGTGTGCGTTGATGATGTTCTTGCTGCTTACACCCTTCATTCCATTTGTTCTCATTAATGAACAGACATACAGCAACACAGTTTATGGTTTCTTTGATTGCACTGTCATTCATACCCTCACAAATATATAAGTATACACGCTCTCATATATATACATACATGCACACTCATACACACATATACATGCATACAGTAATACATTTAAATCCATGTACTCATTCATCTGTACCCTTCGCACAACTATATTCCCACTGTTCCGTCTACACATGATTCCGTACCATCCACCTACATACACTGTGTCTTATGTATCCATCCTATACACAAATGCACTCATACTACACGCACTCATCCTTGTGTATGTGTCCATGTTCACATCTATGCACTCATCATACTTACACTATCTCTCTGACTCTAGGATGTCCGGGGTTACCATCTCATCAGTTCCTTCTGTTATACTGAGTAAATCCCTAATCTGGTCTTTATAGTTTTGATTTGTTTTAATAAGGTATTGTTTAACCAGTTTTTGGATGTCTTTATTGCTATCTACATTTAAACATTTGTTTGCAGTAATTTGTTGTTTGCGTTTTAGAAAAAACTCCTCAATGGGTTTCCTTTCCAATTTATATTTAGTGCAGTTTATTATATATATAATGCTCTAGAGTATTATCTTGAAAGCAGTCCAGACATAGTGGAGATGTAAATTTCTCTGGGTGCCACCCTAATCTAGCTCTCCATAGTAGTTTGTTGGCTGGAATTTTCAGTTTGTCCCGTACCTGTGTGTTAAGGCTGGGCTCTTTAAGGTTATTGTAGGCATCTCTGCCATTATTGCTCCCTTGCCATTGCAGTTTCCACATTTTAATTATATGTCGTTTGATTATGCTGGTCCTTTCTGTTTTTCCGAGTCCTACATCTATTAAAACATCACATTTTGCTCCTTTTTTGGCTGCTATGTCAGCTTTTTCATTGCCTATTACACCTCTGTGTGCTGGTACCCATGCAATGGTGACTTGGCATCCTTTATTCTTGAGCTGAGTTGTTAGATTTAGGATTGTCTCTTTAATATCTGGCCTACCTGAGAGGAGACAGATGAGTCTAATGGGTTTTGATCCTACCTGAGAGGAGACGGAAGAGTTTGATAGGTTTTGGTCCCATATGAGAGGATACAGATGAGTCTAACGGGTTTTGATCCTACCTGAGAGGAGACGGATGAGTCTGATGGTTTTCTCCACAGAGCTTGTCTGTTCAGGTGTGGACAGCAGGTATGTTACAACAGGTGTCAACAAATGTACAGGGTAGGGTTTATCAGATCGGCACATACAGTCCTGGAAACAGAAACAAGAATTATAGGCATGCAGAAAAACATTATGAATGACAAAGTTTACGTATGTAATTACCTTGAAGAATTTAAGGACAATCGGAGAGGCCTGCCTACCTAATTATATTAAAACAGAATGAAAAGGGTCTGATCAAATCTTTCACCAGCTAAGAGAAGGAAGGATGTTTGGAAACTACAAGGTTTTTGACACTAGGTCCTTTGCAAAAGAACTAACAGATCGTAAATCAAACTGCTTCAAGTCAAATTTATATTTTTCACTCAAAATGGGTATAATTATTGCACATAAAACAAAGAAATTCAATCTATGTAGCAAAATTATTGTAAATAATGTGAAAAATACATAATACTGGCTCTACTGTATGTATGCCACACACAAAAAAAAAAATCAACGTGAAATTGCTATTTTTAATTTATTTACTTTTTGTGTGTGGTTGTAACTGCAGATGGTTGTAAAGTTGCACAGGTTGTAGGTCGGTTGAAGGTTGAAATGACAGTCATTACATTAGATCAAAAACTGAGATTACAAAATAATCAAAATGTGATTCAATAGATTAGATCCATAAGTGAGATTATTAAACAACATATAATGTGACTACTGATGCAACACTGATATGAAATGGCAAAACACCATCTGTAATCCATGACACTTCAAACACATGAGTTCAACACACCCAGATATTCAAGAGAAAACAAACCATCTCTAAAATGTTTCAGGGCAAATGGTCTCAAAATTAACACAGCAAAAAAAAAAATTATTGATCTTACTAGTAGTTCAGACAACATAAAACTAAATAATCACATTCTAGAAAAAAAGTCAACAGCTTTACATACGTAGGGAGTAAGATGACATCTATAGGGGATTCAGCACCAGAAATATCATCTAGAATTGAATTCGCATCTAATTAGTGCCTTTTACAAACTGCCAAACATCTAGAAGTCAAAGACACTCAGCAATCACACAAAACTTGAGATCTTTAACTCTTATGTGTTGTGTGATCTCGGTGCTAACTTGTATGCGAGAATTGGAAAGCAACGGTAGCTCTAGACCCCCCCCCAAAAAAATTTGACCATTCTGATAACAGAAGAATACTAAATCTCCATTGGACAGATCTAAAATCTAACACAAAAAGACAATAGACCAAGCATAATGTATCAAATTTTATATGTAAGCACCAAACTATCATCGGATAAGACAAGATTTCCCTATCAAGCCCTTATATGGACACCAGAAGGGAAAAGAAAATGGGGGAGATCAAGAGACTGCTTAGAACTATCATCAGGAGGCTCAACCACGGACCTAATAAATATCCAAAACCTACAACATGGGACAACGAACCGTCAGACATGGAAGCTATGACCTCTGCCCTATGCTGAAAAGGAAAAACTAACTAACAAACATGTGATTACACAACAATTGATAATGTGATTTATGACACTAAATTGACACCTGACTACAATATAACGTCGGCAAACTGTGGCTCAGGCATTACGAATGCACTTTGTAATGCTGGAGTGTCAGGTCTGACCCCGGGCCTTGCGCTGGTTTCAACAGTGGTATCGGGAAGCCGACCATCCAGAAAGCAATGGCAAACTACTTAATGTAAACTTGCCTAAGAAAACCACAACAGCCACAAAAATGCTGGGGTTGGTTTTGCAACATCCTGTAAAGGATATGCAACTAATAACTAACTAACTAACTAACAAGATAAATAAATACCTGACAGGAGTCTATCAAAAAGTCAATAGCCAGGCATGATGTTCGACTTCTGGAGGTTAACTTTTGCGATGCCCAGTGCAGACAGGACAACAGTGGTTCTGTATCAGGGGTCAAGGACTCATGTATGGCCGCCAACATGAGGTCTGAGGAGATAGAGTTCTGGGCAAGCGGGGTCAGCAGCCGACAGTTGACACTCTGCCGGACCGACGGAATCACACACAGGTTGAGAAGCAGTTCAAACATCTGGAAATACATTACATCTTGGGGTTAGTCTCTGAACACCAGCTCGGATGCACAAGCTAGACACTAGAAAATAAAGTAAAATAATGATATGGCAACAGCCGCTATGTCCCAGCTAAATACAATGTGGAAGAGCCAAATCAGCATGGCAGTTAGGGTCAATGTATATACAGATCACTGGTATTGTTTATTTTCTTATAAGGATGTGAGATTATGACTCTCACTGCGGAAATAGGAAGGAGGATTTAGGCTTTTGGATGTAAATGCTATGGACGCAATTTACGAATTAGTTATTTAGAACACAAAACTAATAAATATGTCAGAGAAAAAACACACAAATTTACAGGACATCAGGGGCCTCTCTTGGCAGTGGTGAATCATCGCAAGCTAACCTGGTTTAGGCACGTGGTGAGACATGATTCCATTGCAAAGACTTTACTTTTTGTTGGGGGGAGGGAGGGGTGGGGGGGGTTTGTCGAAAAAGATGAAGAGGCAATGAACCTAAAATGACAGCATCAAGAAATGGACAGGACTAGGTCATAATACACTTATTCATCAAGCAGAAGACAGAGAAAGATGGCCAGTTTTTTTGTGCTAGTGCTTCCATCGATACACCTCCAAGACCCTAATGGGTCTAAGGTTAGGTTATTCAAGTAAATGACCCTATTCCACACCTACAAGCACATGGCTAGACCTATATTTTACAGACCAGTCGGCACTCGGTGGTGGATGTGGTCCACTGACAACAGGATCCATAAACTGAACCTTCTGGTGGAAAGTCATGGCTGTTCTTTCACTTCTGGACTTAGGTCGTGTTCCAAAACTCGTGTTTTGTTTGCACATCCGTTTTACAGATCTGATTTACTCTTATGCAGACTGCTAGAACTTGCCTCTCGGGCAGATGCCCTCTGACTTTGAAGGAAACACCCCTGATTAGACATCTTTCACAACAGGCTCGTGTAGGAGTGGCAGCCGGTCTATTCTTTTACCCCCAAAACTAGCATTTTTCATACAATAAAATGTTCCATACGTTAAAATATTCCATACATTACAATGTTCTAGACATTACAATATTGCTGTCATTACCTGGAAGTGGCAGGTTTGAATCTTGGAACACTGTCTAGTGTGTCCCTTGTCTCTACTTCTATGCTACACTTCTACAAGTGCCTATACAATATACTTCTTATGCTACATCAAAGACCACAGAAAATACCCAGCGACTGCCTAAGATCACATTACTTACATCAGCTATATTTTCTTCTGAGCTGGTTGCCAGTAAGGATAGAATATCATTGACACATCGTGGTAGATGGCGATACCTGAAGAAAACACATACATATACCACATATGTAGGTCGCAGTGTTGGTAGTTGGAAATGCTACATACAATTAATGCTAGCATGTGAGAAGACACGTTTAAAAAAAACGCGAATGAGTGACTCAACAGATGGGCAACCAGAATTTTTAGCTGGGCAGAATAGAAAGACAAATTAAGGACTGAAAATATTAGTAATTCTTGTACAAAAAATCCTAAGTAAATTTTTATGTTCTTAGCAAACAGATCTTAACTGTTAAGTTTTAGGGTAATTGTTGAATTAAGAATCGACAACACAGCACTCGGGAGACTCACATAAGTGCTCCGTCCCCATCTGCAGCAGCAAGCGAAGAGTTCTAATTCCAATGACACCAGTAACTGTCTGATTGTATATCCGCCTTATCCCTGAGTGTTGAGCATTGGCCAGATCCCCTGGAAACTCCCCGCAGTGCCATTCTCTTCAGATCGTAATGATCTAACTGAACCTCTGCACTGTTCACTCGTTCCCAAAGGGTCCTCATAATATCTAGCTTGTCATATATCAATTCACCACCAAGTGGTGCAGAGCCAGCCAGTCTATCTGCCTGCTCATTTCCCAACACACCAGCATGACCTGGAGAAAATATCCAAAGGATGCGAACTACCCATGCTTGCCACTCTGCATGAAGCATGCCTGCCTTTATCTTTCTCAACATGCTCTTTGAGTCAGTTACAATCACGGCATGTGTGTACAGCTGATTCTCAAGCCAGCAGAAGGCAGCAGAGACTGCCTCCACCTCCATTCCTAAACTAGACATTGTGATATCATATGCAAGGCTTTGCTGTACTAAGCAAAATTTTAGGGTGAGCAGCTGTCTAAATCAAATGAATTCCTTACATGGTCTAAATCAAATGAATTCCTAACATGGTCTAAAGCAAATGAATTCCTAACATGGTCTAAATCAAATGAATTCCTAACACTGTCTAAATCAAATAATTTCTGAGCACTGTCTAAATCAAATGAATTCCTAACTTTGTCTAAATCAAATGAATTCTTAACACTGTCTAAATCAAATAAATTCCTAACATTGTCGAAATTAAATGAATTCCTAACACTGTCTAAATCAAATGAATTCCTAACATGCACAACTACAGAAAATGTTATCAACAAGGTAAATAGCAAGCCAGCTTCTCAAGGAGCACATTGTAATTTCAAACGCCAGGAAAACTACACAGCCACCTCTAACAGCACTAACTGACTCTTGGGGACCCTTGAACATTTACTTGAACATGGTCAAGCCGTTAATTTTTTTTTTCTTAAAAGGAACAGAACATTAACTGAAGACCTGCAACTGTATAAGACTAGTAATGGGCTGCCAATAGTAGTCGACTCATCAATGTGGGAATCAGCAACAAAAACTACAGGAAAAATCTGGGTCTCGTCTGGGTAAATATTTGACATTACAATATAGAATGAGCCTATATTAGTTGTCTCCCTCCTCAAAAGTCTGCGAATAGTCTCCACACTCTTGGTACCTGTTGCCATCTGGTTAACTACTGTTCTTGCCTTCCAAGTGAGTCTTAAGTGGCACCCACAGCCCGCAGATACTGCACCATTCTCTCCAGGGAGAGGAAAATACTTCAGCCTAAGCCTTCTGAAAGCCTAACTGTGCCTGGAAATCACTCAAGGATCCAGAAGAAAATCTTCAGAATCATGGCATTCTGCAACGTGTCAAACAAAATGGTCAAAGTAGAGCAGATACTGCTGACATCACTCACTTTCTGATACAAATCTGCATCTGTGGATGCTTCAGCAGGTCTGTCAACAGGTCTGCAGCATACTTCCAGGCCACTGTTCGAAAACTGTTCTTGATGATCCCAAAGATGGTCTGCAAAGTCTGCTCCACATTACTGCCTTCAAAAAATACCTGATGGGACAGTTATATGTTTTAGTAACACCTAAGTAGTAGCACCTAAGGGAAGCCACTGTGTGTAGATACATACTAGACGCTAGACGCTCACTGCCAGATACTAAATTTGTGGGTTCAGGTTTTGAAGGAGCTGAACTTGCTTCATAAATTCCTTCGTTTCCAGGCTGATCCAGCCTTATAGAGGCACCAGGTAAAAGTCCTGGGAAGAAAAGGCAGCTCAAGTGATGTTGAACACATCACCCTCACCTCACTGTACACAGAAATTCATTTAGAGCAAAGGAAAGCTTTTTTGAAGTTTTTATTTGTTATTACCAGGGTAGTGTCTATCGTTATTTTATTCTTGAAAGCTGAAAAGTTAACAAGGAAATGTACGTTTATATTCTTTGTCATCTTAGAGGTTTCTGCTACAGGACAATGGGTCATCAGATCAATCCCTAAAGGTGAAGTAGTATCCAACAACACAGTATCCTCCATACTCTCCTGACCTACATACCACTTTTTCCCCCCTTGTTCCTTCACCTGAAATCGATTCTGAAAGGGCAGTGATTCAATTATGCTGAGGACGGTATCATCAATGTGACAGCCGAAAGAGGTGTGAAAGAATGGGTTCTATAAATTTTTCCAACAACTGTACAAACATTGGCAAAAGTGTGTTGTTGCTAAAGGGAACAATTCTGAAGAAAATAGAGTATAAATAATTGCACTGTCATTTCTACATGACACAACCGATTCCTGGAACTTTTTGAAGCTTCCTCGTATGTTTTACCAATGGACAGACAATTATACATTTTGCCTCTTTCGCACATTTAGCCTCTAGGTGTTGCCCCTTGAGTGTGTTAATATTTTAAAACTGAGAAATCTAAATGCAACAGGGGTGGTTACAAAAGAAACAGAATAAGAAGTACTTAACACAGGATGAACCCCTGACCTTTTGGCCTTCACTTTCATTGAGGCACAGACTTGTGAAAACACTTAAGGAGAAGATCACTAGCAGATGATTGTGGTTGTCCAGAAAGCCACACAAGGTCTTTAGCAGTTTCTTGAACTCTGCATGCCACTGAAAGAGAACATTCCAACACACGTCAACCCAGCATAAACAATGTCACAATCACAAGCAAGAACACAAAAATCACTTAGCTGAGGTATTTCCAAGAAAAAATCCACATGTCTGTCAGGCAAGTTGAAGCTCTGAGACATGTGTGAGTAAAGGCAATAAATACTAGCCAGCAAAAATGTGAGTCAAGGGCCTTAATTCACATAGGTTAAAAAAAAAAGGTTAGATAAAGCTATGTTGGAGGTTAAGTCCCTGAGGAGAGTTGGAGCCCATTAGTTAGATAAAGTGGTTCTCAAGAGAACTGTACTCGAGTTGGTAGACTTGACAGCCGTAACTCTCATGTCGAAGACACCACAGTTACCCTAAGAAACTGAAATGAAGTGGCGCTGATTTGAGGGCACCATTCTGCACATCAGAAAGTCGTAGCCCTGTTTCACAGATGTATTTCATTCCCATCTTTAACAGATGACAGTGTGAATTACATTGCGGCTTGTGCAATAAAACTGTTTTCACATGTAGGAGCTACACACAAGATTTAGTTTGAAACTGCCGTCCAAGCATGAGCCAAACTGTGGCCTGCAATTATAAAGGTTACAATTTGAGAATTCAATTATCTCCAGTAAATGTAAAGAACATACAAGTAAAAAAGGGGAACTAGTGGCTGGTCTCTACAGTGAAGTTGTTAAGCACACCATCTGGCAGGCAAACTGGATAAGCCAAGGTTACAGGAGGTAGATTCAAAAGATTCTAAATGTCCACTGACCCAGTAGTAAACTGGAGCACATCAAGGCTAAGGGAAGTAGATCAAGTTATTGATTTTTTTTGTCTGTTGCCTCAGTGTATGCTCTGAATCATGATCCAATCAAACAATAAAAGACACTTCACTGATTGACCTTACAGATCAATAACTTATATACTGTAGCAAGCAAATAACTCACTATCCCAGGTGTTACTTTAATTACCTCTTCCTCTCACAGAATGAGCAACAACTGGCCAAACATTTAAGAACCCTGGGCTTCTATGTGGGGGACCCATGTTGAAAGTAAGTCTGTGGATTTTTTCCATTAGGAACAAAAATTAAATCCAAACTTGGCCTGTCTGTAGTGACAGCACTAGCCATTTGGCCCTAAATCCTCAGGCTCAAAGACCTCCCTGCCTACACCCCAAAAATGGTATATGCGGGCAGCAAGGGCACAAAGACCCAAGCGGTTCCAAGTTTCAGTTACCACTACAAGCAAAAAACAATGACTGCCTGAGACTACGTTAGTTAAGGATAATTTGTCACACATAACTTGTGGTTTGAGTGAAGGATAACGATGAACTTCCCATTCCTCAAGGTTGCGTTAAAGATAATGTTCCCATGACAAGATATCAACTGGAACAAGAAAATACAACTAGCCACCTTCCTAAGATCACAATCACCGATGACAAATGAACGCAGCAGCTAAAAAGCCTTTGTCAACGCAAACAGACAATGATACAATTACAAACAAGAATTTGAAAAAAAAATCACTAATCTGTAACATGAGGTCTTTCACAGAACTCTGCAATACTGGCAGCCCTACCCTGTTTGTACTTCAGCTTACTTTCTAATCATCGAGGGCCCAATATAAACTCAAAATTGAGCGAGATTTCGGGAATTTGTGCCTGGGGGTATTCTCATCCAAGCAATGACACTTTGTACTTTGGGTCACGGGGTGTTATTCGCTCAGTGTGAGGTCCTAGTGGGGTTCAGCTTCACTAACTCACTCACAGAAATAATCATGACCTGTCTGGATAGTAGAAACTAAGTCCCATGTAAAGATAATGTTGACACATTGGAGAACTGGTTTTGGAGAAGGATAAATGATGGACTTACCATATTCCTGATGGCAGACTGAACTAATAGGTTGTTACGGCACAGGTTGGCAAGTGTTCCTAGCACTGGCAACAACAAGGATTCTGTTTTCATCAGCCTATCAGAGAAATGGACAATCAGATCAAATCACATAAACACCCACTGAACAAAAGGGATATTACCCCACTCTGCCAAACCCACAGGTGACGATCACAAAAATTCATAACCTGCGTTCTTCAACAGCATGTATCCGTTTGTGACACCTCTTTAATCCATCACAAGAAGCTGTCAAGAATCTTCTTGTGTTGCCTTCCTCTGTCTCCTTTTCTACAAATGTTTCTAGTTGTTTCAGTTAACTAGACAGCGTATTTTGGATGCATAATATGATGTTGAAAAATCTGTCAGTATATGAGGTGGTCAGGCATAGTGAATTCTTTACCATTTTAAAACCAAGCTTGCTCATTTAGTTATATTTGAGTTAAGACGCTTCATTCTAGAAATCTCCTGAATGGGTTCCGGTGCCACATTGTGGGAGAAAACAAGAACAGAACCACTGCCTCCCAAAAAAAGCATGTCATAGGAGTCAACTAATTAAGGGCTTCCCTTCCATTTACAGTGCATCTGCCAGAGAGACAAGACATTTTATTTAATTAGGCCAGATCTGTGGAATGTGTACACACACAAAACCGAGGCCCCTTGAACACAATCAAAGTGTAGAAATGGACAAACAACCAGTACTTCCTGCCAGGGTTTACAGCCAGTGAACGCAAACAAACATCCAAGAATTAAAACCGTGTGACACTGGACAATCGATGGCTACATCGTGTCTATGACTGACATTACACATGAGGATTTGCTTTAAACTTGTTTACATTTCTCCACCCTTTCTGAGACACTATATTTGTTTTGTTAAAAAAAAAAATTACATAACAGAACTTGACCCGTCAGGGTCATTAGGGTGTGTCAATGAAACAATTAGCACTATTACACACATGTGTTGCAAGGCAGGGAGACATGTTGAGAAACAGGACACATGTGTGTGAATTTTGTTCTGGCCACCTGTAAAAAATACTTAACAATGCAAATGGCTTTTAATTAATGACTTCCCCTCATGTTTCTTTACTCCACTGAAAAAGACTTTGGTCGAAACATTACTTTGTATTTGTAGAGATAAGACACAGAACGTTTTTGTTCCTACCGATTGTAAAAAAAACTTATTAATGCAACTACCTTTACTTAAATGACTTCCCCTAGAAATTATATTTTTCTTCATTGATAAAGAACTGAAATGTTTTGTTCTATCTGTACATGTCCTTTCCATACTGCCTACTGAGCCTTCTAGTCACAGTTTATGTTACCTTCAGCACTGTGAAAATAGCCTGTTCTGCAAATACTTACACGTGAGGAATGAGAAACTTGAGCAGCTCTTCCACATTAGCCTGGTGGTAGTCTATGCGGTGACCATAGGTGATTCTCTGCAGAAGTTGCAGACCCTAAATACAAGAAACACATGCAATCATTCACACTTCTATTGGTTCAATATTCTCCTCTGTAGGTTCTGGGGCCCAAGTGTTGGGAAAGGGGGTGGGGGGGGGGGGGGGGGAGAAGACTACTCTCCCCCTCGCTCAAACAAGCATTTTGTAAAGGGTTATTTAGTAATTAATTTACAGGCAAGCCAACTTACCCTTTACAGGTGAGCCAACTACCTTTTTACAGGTGAGCCAACTACCCTTTTACAGGCGAGCCAACTACCCTTTTACAGGCGAGCCAACTACCCTTTCTCAGGCGAGCCAACTACCCTTTTACAGGCGAGCCAACTACCCTTTTACAGGCGACTGATGAGGAAGTTGATTCAATGGTTCTACTTCCGTCCCCATGTTGGGATGAATTTTTTGTTATTTTGAAGCCCCACCCTGGTTGTTGCTGGGGGCCCTAATATAACCTAGCAGTTGAACAGGGTTTCTGGAACCTCTCCATGGGTGATCCTCATCCAAATAGTGGCACTTTGTGTCACCAGGCGTTTATCGCTCAGTGTGATGTCCTGGTGGGGTAATAAGTCAGTTGGTTGATTCAGTACTGTTTTTACCTTTGCTAGGTCTACATTACCAACACATAAGAAGCAATATGTTACATTAGAAAAAGAAAAAAAAAACATCTGAAAGTAACTACATGCACTTGCCAAGCATCACTAATTACATCCCCAAATTGTTAAAATATGCTTATGGACAGGTGATAATGTACATACCTGAAAAATAATACGACCCACACTGAGTTTTGTGTAACACAATGGAGCTGACCAATCAAATTTCTTTCTTAAATGTTTGTTGTATTCTAGACACAACATTACTGTCCGATGGGTTTATAATTGGTGTTGTGTTTGTTATTCGACCTCTACTTGTTTAATATAAATTTCTGTAACCCAGTGTTTTCTAAACTTTTCTTAGTCATGGCGCCTTTTTTTTCAAATGAATTTTTCCACAGTGCCCTAAGCTAAGTAAACGTATGACTATCTGCATGTAAGAGGTACAAAAAAAACATGTAAAACTTGTGTATCTTCGAATATTTCGTGCGCGCCCATGTGAAGAGGTCGTGGCTCCCTGTAGCGCACAGTTTGGGAATAACTGATGTAACCTATGGTGCCATTTAAATGGTTTGAGGTTAATTCTGTTCCTATTCCATAGTTGTGGATCTCAGGCTATACGATTGACATGGCCAGTGAAAATACTTTTTTTAAAGGTGCCCAGTTGGTCACGTACTTAGTACACTTGTTTCCATAGCGAGATGCACACGCCATTTGGAGGTGACATGTTTTATTTCCGGCATGGTAACTATAACTTTCGATCTGTATGTTGTCTAGTGTGTCCTTCTATCTTTCTAATTCTTTCTATCAGTGCCCATCAATAGATTATATGTGTGTTTATTAGTGATATAACACACATTGTTGAGCAACACTACACACGCTTAAGGCACCTAACAGTAAACAGAAAACACATGATAAGTAATACTGCAAATACCTGATATGCAGAAATGTACACATATGGCAGGACAAACTGTACACACCTGAAAGATAGAACTCTACACACATGACAAGTAGAAAAGAACACACCTGATGGATAGAAATTGTACACAACTGAAGGACAGAACTTGTACACAACTGATGGATAGA